CTAGATATTGCTACAAAATGGCTTTCTTTATGGAGAATTATGACATATTAAAACATAAAATCTACGCATATCACTTTCACGCTGCGTACTGGTATATGCCCTGCAATTAAGTTAAATGGACAGGAAATCCCAGTAAAAGATAGCGTAAAATATCTTGGAATACACCTAGACACAAAATTGAACTGGAGAGTTCACATTAACAAGAAAAAACAGCAGATTGATGAACTATTCAAAAAACATTACTGGCTACTAAATAAACGTTCCGAACTATCGACGAATAACAAGTTAATTATTTATAAATGTATTTTTAAACCAGTGTGGTCTTATGGGATTCAACTATGGGGCACCGCCAAAAAAAACCAATCTACGATTATTCAGCGAGTGCAGAACAAGATCATAAGGCAGGCACTGAATGCACCTAGGTACGTTCCCAACTGGCTAATTCACCAGGACAGCAACATAATGACAGTAAATGAAGAAATTCAACAAAAAACAAACAACTACAAAAAAAAGAATAGACGAGCACCCAAATTACTTGGCCAACAAAGTATACTCAGAAGCGCGCCCAACAAGACTAAAACGAAAAATTCCAAACGATCTTATAAATTTGTAAATTATTATTATTATTATTATTATTATTGTTATTATTATTGTTATTATTACTATTATTATTTTTATTATTATTATTATTATTATTATTATTATTATTATTATTATTATTATTATTATCTTACTATTTCTATTATTGTTATTTTGTTATATTTTATTATTTTTCTAGTATTATTTTATTATTCTGAAATTTTATTTATATTATTTATTAATCTTATTTTTATTATTATTTGCTTATATTTTACATTAAATCATATTACGGATATTATTTTTATGTAAATTTTATCCTTTGCTCTTTTATTTATTTAAATTTATATTATTATTTATCATATTACTTGATGTTAATAAATTAGCAGTTGTAATAATTATTGAAATTAAAAAAAAAAAAAAAAAAATAATCCATTCAGCAATTTTAATTATTTTTGCCATTTTTTCTGTTGTTGACTAACGTGGATAACATATTTATTATAATGATGTTCTGTTGCATAAGCTGATTGAAGACATTTTTAAATTCTAAAATAAATGTTGCTAGAGAATTAAATTCGGGATTTGAAGGTGAATGATTAGAAGCAGAATAATTGTTTTTTGCAATGTCTGCATAGGATAAGTCATGAATTGCTGGCTTCAGGGCCGGAGAAATGTTGTTTAGATTATTGGAATTTTTAAAATTTTGGTTATTTGGATTTGGATTTATGACTGATTGATTTACTGGAGTTTTGTTTCTTTGTTCTTTATTTTTTTTGAAGTAAAAGCAACCGCGATAATTAGCTGGATGAGCGCAGTCGCAAAAATAGCAACATGCCGGAGCATTCGGATCTTTGGTACAAGCTTTTGTATTATGATTATCACCGCATTTTAGACAAGCAAATGATCTATTGCAGTATTTTTTGGTGTGATTAAAGAGTTGACAGCGAGTGCATTGTATTATGTTATTAGACTTTCTCAGTGTTTCGACGCGTATTATGCAGTTGAATAATTTGTAAATGTTATAAATATTTTTGTTATTTCTATTTAGTTCCAGATCAACAAAAAACATATTAAGAGGTTCTTTTCTTATTCTATGTCTAATATTTAGGATTTTACGTACGACATGTCCCTGTTTTAATAGTTCTAATTTAATTGAATCTGTGCTTGTTGAAAAGTGCTCATTTCTAAGAACAACCCAATAAGCCAAGGATAAGCAACCCGCTCCCGCCGGAGGTTTTTCTGCGGCCCGCCAAGCATTTCTCAACTACAGATTATTTTTCTAGATATTTTGTAAAATACGGCTGTAAAGGCTAATTTTGTTGTCAGTCAAATACTGGTAAAAACTGTTGTTCGCAGAAATAGCATTTTCTGATAAAATAAATATTAATTTAAATAATAGTTTAACAATATTGCAAGAAAAATTGAGAACTTGTCGCGGGATTTAAATCATCGTGAATTTAAAGACTATCTGACAATTTAGAGCGTGAATATGGCGATGTGTTTTTCAATACCAAAGTACGTTAGCTCAATAGTGATGCAATGCTTGAAGAAGTATACGACGCAAGGGCAAACTACATTTGTTTTTGGATATGAAAGAACAATTGTAGTTCTTTCGTGATTTTGGTAATAATGAAAAATATCTTAATAATTTGTAGTATTTTGTTTTTCACATTTCATTTTCAGAAAAAGAAAATGTGAACAAATTTTAATTGTGATTCCAAATGTTCAAAGCTAACAAAACAGCTGTTTTCAATTAAATGTTTTCTTTGTCATTTACCATGCAAAATAATACAGATTTAGAAAATATATTTTTTCAATAAACATCTCATTTTTTTATAAATCTCATGTCAGCCCTGAGAAATTTTCGCTTTTGAAAAAAAACAAATAAAATTATGATAAATTACTTTTTTGGAAGTACGTATGTGTGCGAACAATTACACAGGTAATAAAAGAAAAGTCGCTGGATAATAATTCATTCATTCAGAAAAAATGCCAGATTGAAGGTTGTGGCAGTGTTTAAATGTTTTTCCATATTTTGCGTCCCAATTTTGACTACAGATTTATCTTCAGCGGTAAAAGTACGTTGAAAATACATCGGAAAACATATGTACAACACCCAACCCAGACAACTTTTTTTGTGGACCTGTGTTAATTTCTACTATAAAATTCATAAAATATTACCACCTATCAAAACTGAGTAAAACTTATCAATAAAAAGAACAAAATTAAAAAAAAAAGGCTGATATTGATCAGGATATATAAAAAAGCAGTGACAAATTTCTTATTAAAGTTTTCATGTAAATTAGTTTTTCTGTTTAACTATTATTTGTTTTTATTTTGTATTTATATTTATAAATCACTTATAGTATACATTCGTAATTATATAAAATATATACTTTTTCACCTTTTTTGTATTTTTGTTCTTTTCTTGTGGCAATTTTGTAATTTTGTTGCAATTACATTAGTTTCGCGCTTAGTCAACAAATCTTTTGACTTAATTTTAATTCAGACTTTTGAGTTTATGAAAAAGCTTCAGTTTTATTTTAAAAGAAAAAGCAATTTATTTTTATCATTGGTTGTACGAACGTAACATTTTTTTTAAATTTTGTTCATTATTTTAATTTTTTAATGCCGAATGTAAAACTACATTCAACTCCAAATTTTCTTTATTTTATAATAGTCATTTTAGTAGTCCAATCATTTTTATTTAACTTGGTAATCGATCAATTAACTATTATCGCCTTTTTGTGAACGTTTTTAATTGAAATTGATTAAGATTTTTCTGAGCTTATAAAAAAGCTTAAATGTATTCGCTGCAACATTTCAAAAATAATTCTTAGATATTGGCAACAAAATGGTTACCTCCCATAAAACTAACTGATTTGCAGGCTTATCCTACTGTACACATATTTCCCGATGTGCATTAGAAGTACATATTTTTTGAATGTCTTGCAGAAGAAACAATTCTAGCAAAAAAAATAGAAATTATAAAAATCTGAAGATAAAACTGTTCTTGAGAGAATACTGAATTTTTTTTCAGAGTTATTGAAATCTTTTTCAAATATCTATGCTAGTATTTTAGCGTTGTAGTTGGTAAATTATCAATGTAATATATGTCAGCGGCCCCTTTTAATTATATACCACATATTTATAAATTCAGAATTAGTCATTTCTAATACTAATGATTTTCTAAAAATATTTCCTGTGGCTAAACGTTTGCCGGGTCAGCTAGTATATGTATATATATATATATATATATATATATATATATATATATATATAAATTACATGCGGCCCGCCATAAAATTTTGAAAATCAAATTGGCCCGTGGGTTAGAAAGGTTGCTCGCCCTTGCTATAAGCCTTCTCTTCTTTCAATTGATATGTATGATATACGGCACTAGTTTCTTTTAGATGTCTGGATAAAGTTCGAAAATAGTCTACAGAATTACATAGAATTTTAAATGTATTGTTAGCTAAACTTCTCAGGAAATATTGATCGTGCGGAATTATTTCATTTAATTGATTTGACATATCATTAATATCGTCATTATTTGCTGCGGCTATTGTTGAAAGAGCCGAAAATCTGTTTTGAATTTTGACATCTATTCCTATTGGTTCAAATGATGTTTTTCTTTTTTTGAAATTGACTACTTGCCATGAATTAGGAGGTTTCTTGGCATCTGATTGTGGTTGAAAGTGACTTGTAGATGCATTAATACTAGATGATAATACTCCCTTCATTGAGTCAGGATCTGATGTAGATGAACGCAGCGAGATCTTTTCCGTTGTAAACATGTTGGTCCGACCTTCTTCGCGAGGTATCTTTGCTATATTTGCTCGATCCAATAACGGTCCTTCGTAGTTTTGGAATTTCTGTTGGTTTACTGTTCGATTCCATTTTTATTGTTAAATCTTGATTAAAATGTCAAACATAAAGAAAGGTCGTCGCCTAAATATAAGCACTTATAATAATATTAGCACCAATTTTAAACATAAAGAAAGGTCGTCGCCCAAATACAAGCACTTAAAATGATATAAGCACCAAATATAAGAACTATAAAATATACTTGAATGATGAAATTTACAGTGTTTATAGTAATTATTTAAAAATATTAAAAAAACTGTTATTAATCATTGGTCAGTTTTCATTAATTATTGTTTATTTTTATTTCTCGAATATTTAACTACAGTACGAGAAGTTTTAGCAATTTGCCTTAAGGTGCAATGTCATGCAAGCCTAGTTTTATTGTTAATTGTTAATTCAGTTTTAAGGTTAATGCCTTAAGGCACAATGCCATGCAACATTAGTCTTATTTTTAATTTTTGCAGTTTTGCTGTTATTTTCATATTACTACTATGTGTTTCAATGATATGACAAACGGATGGCCGTTTAAATGTAAGAGACATTGATTTGCATAATACCTGATCAATTTCGATGCAACGCTGCAGACGTGCATCTAGACCTACAGTGTACAACACTTTTCCTAGTATATCAGCGTGAGTTATAGCTCCATAATGCTTGCGCATGCAATACATAAACAAGGCATCCCGCGTGTTATAGGCGTATACACAGCCGTCTTCAGAAGCGGCATAAACAATATGATTCAACTCCTATAATATAAAATCACATAAGTATGTTTAATACTTATTAAATTCTATTATAACTATTACTGGGAAACACTCATCAAAGATTTGTAATAAATAATAGTTAATAGTTTCTGAATTGTGGCGAAAAAAACTCTGATGATTAATTTTGAATAAAATAGGCAATTCTACACAAGTACATACCCAATCGGATATTTTCGAATGTCACAAGTGTTATGGAATAATTATCATGAATAACAAATTCTTAATCGAAAGAGAATCATTCTATAATAGTGATATATTAATAATTATTGATTAAATAATACTTACACATAGGTCAACTATCGGCTCTTTGTGATCTGTAAATGAAATTTTAACTATCTGATGCTCAGAATTCTCATCGTTTCTTAATTCATTATTGCATGATTTAGTACATATTTCATCATTATTTTGTAAAATATACTTTGGAGTTGTTTTTTCACATAGCTGAAATTTACAAGAGTTACCCACAATGCTATGTGAAGTTTTGTTTTTTTTTAATCCGGATGTAACAGAATCTGGTAATACCGACATGTCTAAACGCCGTAACACAACATTACACTGAAGAATGCCTAACGTGCTATGATCGGTTTTACATTGTAATTTTTCATTTTCTCTTTGTTGCATATTTTCGAATATAGTCTCCTCCTGTAAATAATATAGAAGCAAATTAAATTTATCATGACTATGTAAAAATTCATGGTATTACATTAAATTAAATTTTTGATCGTGAAATGAATTTCTCACCCCTGCTCTCAGTTCTCTTAAAGGATTTTCAGCATTAATAGATTTATGTAACTTTCTAGGAGATCTTTTTGCAGATATCAATTCCTTAGATTTTGTAGGTTTTTCAGAAATATTACTTCTCAAGTATGTCATTTCACATTTTTTGTTACTTTCTGATAAATTGTTGGACAATTCCATACAATCTACTTTCGCAAAAAAATTTTCAACAGAATTATCTACAGTTTCATTTTCTTTTTGTGCAACAATCTTACTTTCATCAATAGTACTTTGCATCAAATGAACTTTACCGCTTATAGGTACACATTTGTGACTTAATTCCATAACTTCTAAGGCACCTTTATCTATATGGCTTAATTTATTCTTAGCACTAAAATTAATATCTACCAAATCTACTTTTTTAGAACAAATATTATCAGAAACACTATTCAAAGTTCTGTGTGCTAAATTTTCTGCGCCAGATTTTTTCTTTTTCATGTTAAATTCATTATCAATCTTTTTGCAACTTTCATGTTTTCTTTCAGAATATCTTCTTTTCCTATTTATAATTGCGTCTTCTTTTCTGTTTGTATGGTTTTCACATGAACAGCTCTCTTTACACATATTGCGCTCAAGCAAATTTTGTTTATAACTACCATGGTCTGAGACCAGCATTTTCTTCAAACCATTACAGTTATCCAAGGTTTTTGATAAACTAGCGACGGAGTTTACTGACAGTTTGTTGACATGCTCCTTCTTTATTTCTTTCCGATGTTTGGTACTTTCTGGCTTATCTACCAAATTCAATTTATCTGATTTTTTTGATTCGCACGTATCCACCACTGACGTTGCATCTTTATGGGTCAGAACTGTTCCGTATATCTTACTACCAAAAATTTTCTTCGAAAATGAAGATTTGTGTTTAGAAGTAACCTTATCTTTGCTTCTATATTTTTTGGATTTGCCAGTTTTAAGTTCTTCAGTGATTGGAAACATTTCGGTAGGAACATCAGAAATTTTAGAAGTACTTGATTTTTTCATTATTTTTGTCTTTTTCTTCACTGACGTTTTCAATAACTCACCACAAAAGGCGGTTTTGATTGCGGATTTGTCGATTGCAGTTTTCATATGTGCAATATTTTTCTTTATGCGATCATCATTAGCTTCATCATTTTTTGAAACTTCATTGTTACTGCCAAAAATGTCATCACCGTTCCCGTTTAAACTAATATGACTGGGAAGGATTTGCAACGAAGTCTGTAAGCATGTACCCTTATTCGACGAGGAATTATCTCTTTCTTGATGAATACTATCGGATAGTTCATCAACATGACCAGAAACATTTTGTGTAGTTTCTAAATATGCATCTATGAGTTTCATTTTTTCCAATTGCATTTCTAATATTTTCTTATCTAATTTAAAAATTTCTCTTAAAATAGCCAAGCTTGATTCTGCAAAAAAGGTAAGGATGTATTAAATGGTATAATTTAATTCGGATTATAAATCTTTATGACTGAATATTCATAACAAAATTTACTAAGAATGCAGCTGTAATCATCAACCACCCATACATACCCACAGATAATTATATAATATATAATATATAACTATAAAATGTGTACTTTTAAGGGTCTTTTTTTCATTCAAATCAAATAGTTTTATGAGTGAAAAATCCAAGGTGATATTGTACCTTTGCCGCGGATACTATATTTAATTCTTTCTGAATTCGTTACACTGTTTAAAAGACTGTAATTTCCAATACGTATATCTTATGCTATAAATCACAAAGGCAGGCGATGAATTTTTGTGTGATAAATTTGGAAAATCGATGTTTTAGTCGTGAATAAACAAAAAATCATTTATTTATACATCTACATCTACATCTGTAGGTATGACTAAAAAGATTGGATAACCCTTGGCATTAAAATAAATTGAGCTATTGGAAATAAATTTCTTCAATAATTTGAAGTGTATATTTCGAATATACACTACAATTTCATTGAACATATTACATTATTTGTTTGTTTGATGATCTTACGTGACTGATTTGAATTCCACAGTATAATTAAAGGGTTAAGTGTGGGTTCTTAGACTCATCATTTTATTTAACGCTACAAAGCTTTTTTTTAATTTGAGACAAAAATATATTGCTGTAACTGATTATCATAAAATGAGAAAAACTTATAAAAATAAAAATAAATCCACATTTTACGTAAAAATCAACTTTTTGTTTCTGTTCCACATACGCTACACTGAGCAATACTTTTTGGTATTAAAATAGTATAAGGTACAAGTGAAATGGTTGGAAAATACAATGTGGAAGGGGATTTTAAGTCAAATTGTTATTTAGTAAAGTAAGGCAAAATACGACTGCATTAGTTAAAAAATATTAATCTGCCGAATTGAATTATATAAGCTATGTTTTATGTGCAATCACTGACAGACGCATGCGCAGACTGTTCATCGGCCAAACCATATATTATAGCTTATATTATTTTAATTTTTGGAACATCTCAGCTGCTTTTCGGCAATAATAATGTAGACATTACATTTTTCTTATTCATAATCATAAATAGATATTATATTTTAGTATTGTCTCAGCCTATAAGTGAATTGAAATGTTTGGCAGATGACAGTCTTCATTTGTTTTCATTGCTAAACAATGCCTCAAATATTTTCAATTCAAACAATGATAAACGGTTTTTTTGTAATTTTTTCCATTAATTTCTACAATCTAACTATTTTTCTATAATTCAAAAAATCCTAAACATTCCCTTAACAAACTTCAGAAAGTTTTATCAAAATCCGAATGATCGTTTAGGAAAATTATCCTTTCATACATCATTAAAGAAGAATTTTATATATATAAGATATATCATACGTTTCGGGTCCTGATTTGACCCATCTTCAGTGCTACATTAAAATTGCTTAATAAACGTTAATAGTCATTTACACGCTGTTTTACTACTGGCTAAAACAATTTTTAATTTTTTAATGAATTTTTAGCAAACCAACTTCGACTAATTTATATTTTATGGCTTAAAATTATGAAATCATACAAAAGGTAGAAAAGTAAAGACTTGATTTAGAGGTATAATTATAATTTAGTTGTAATTATATAAAAATAACAAAAAATACATAAAACTTATTTTTTATTGTAAATCAAACATGGAATATTGACAAATGGTTCAGAATCTGACAAAAGTTTTTTATGGTACTGATCTATTAAAAAAATGATTTTAAAATTTGTTTATTCTGAATGTCTAATAGGTCTTTTTAATCTAAACAAATTATGGGGCTTTTATTTAATAGATCAGTATTATTGAGAACTTCTATTGTAGCAAAATACTGAAATTTGGAACATATTAATTCATCGGAAGAAACAAGATTTAATTTGTTTAATAATGATGTCCAATACTCGATATATTCACTTTGAACAAACTTCTAGTATCTTGAATATGAATTCCCAAAGCTTGTCAAAATAGCGTATTACCTTCCTGTGACGTTTATAAAAAATTATGATTGATAAATCATTTTTCTACTACACTAGTGGCGTCTAATTTTAAATTTCCAAATTCATGTTAATAATTTTCTAATTCTTAACAAATTTTGAAATGTTTATAGCATTTGAAAGATCGGTGGTTTCAGATTATAGCTAATAACAAAATAACATTAAAAATATTTAAGCCTACTAGATGTGCACGACATACTGATGCCATTCTTGCTTTAAAACTCCGTTTTGTTGAAATCCAAAATGAAACTATTTCACATAAAAAGAAGTTTGCAAACTACAATTATTTTATTATAGGTTTTTCATTGTAATATTCTACTACTATCGATGCTGCGTCTACTGCATGGCTATTTTATCATGGCTAAAATAATTAAAAATTCATAAACTGTTTAAAGAAAACGCGAAAAAATATGAAGAATCCAGTGAATGTGTTCTAAAACAAATTAAAATCCTTTAGAATTTAGGTTTAGGTTTAGAATGTGCTGAAATTAGGCTCGCAACAAATAGTATAATCAGCAATATACCAATTATGATAAATAAAATTAAGAAAAAGACTTGTCGGAGTCCACATGTCAGAAGTATAATTTGCTTCTGAATGTAAACTTTTAATTTTCAAAACCAAAAATAATGTTTGTATTTTTCCAATACACACAAACACAATACTTTCGCTGTGCGGCGGCGACTCCTTTGGTTTTAACTAACAAAATGGTTGAATAATTAACTATGACTATGAACTTAAAAAATATAAAATATAAGTTTCAAGTGAAATAACATTTATGTACAATGTAAAAATGTATTTCTGAGTCCGCGGTTTCCTAGGCCGGGGCCCCCTTAGATTAGGGGCCCGTGGCATTTTGCCACCCACACCACCCTATAGTTACGCCACTGCGAGGGGTGGTAATTTTGAATATCACCATGTATGGTGGTAATTTTGAATATCACCAAGGGAAAGGGGGGGGTGGTCCAAAAATCCTTAAAAACTCGCTAACGTGATTAATGGACGCTTCCAAAGAGAAAAGGCGAATGGGACTTCGCCAATTTAAAAGATGAGTATAAATCTAGTTAAGAATGATAACATTCTAGATCTTACCCTCACAAAGTAATGCCTAACGCCGGTTAACGCCGGATCCAGAGAAAAGGGCAAAACGGAGGTTTTAGTCGGTATTATACCCGGGCGCTATTGAGTCCGACATACCCAGACAAAACACCAGTCTGGAATGCATAAAGGCATTTCCTTTGCTATACAAAAAAACACACAACACAAAAGAAAATGTTATGATGTACTGCGAATATTGAGAAAATTATTTGAAGCATTCCGGCAGATATTGCAGAGTGGCAGCAGAGTAGCCGAATCAAATCGTTTGTTAATGGCAGGTAATAATTGTATGTAAATACTCTCAGCGAACTTCCTGCGTAAAGTGTTTACTTCTAGATGAATAATTCTTGGATTAGTGAAATTAAAGGAATGTTTTAAGTTGGAGACATGTTCGGTTATCATGTTTTTTTTTGTTTCTTATTCAAGCTATTGAGTTCTTATTGGCGCATTCGTTTCGAGAGAAATGGTGAGGTTTCACCGACATAGCAATTTGAGCAAACATTACAGTCAATGACATAGACAACGTTTGACATGCGGGAAATAGGAGTAGGAGTTTTTAGATTTGTGTACAAGTCTGCGTGAGTGTGTCCAGTCGAACACAATAGCTTCAGACCAACAAATAAACACAGCTATTTCCAAGAGGGGTAAACTTAGAACAAATACGCGTCACACTGTATGAGTGTTTTCAGCATATAACAGATGGTGCTAGTGTGATTCAAATTAAGTTTGTTTTAAAACTCAGTCTCTCTAGGTATAGTGAACGTACTTTAAACGTTAATATCTATCTTCAAATTCTAATTATTATTTATTGAAATATATCTTTTTGGAATGAAAACAATGTTTAATTTTTTTCTCATCATATATTTTTTACAACATATTTGTGTTTTTGTTGAAAATATATTTTATACGCGTATATTTTGTTTTCATTTCATTTAGTCAAATTAATAATTCGGGTTTATATTTTCTATATATATACGATGTTCTGAATGGGAGGTAAACAAGGAAAAGTACGGAATTTATTACGAAGAAAAGGTAAACTATTATTTAATACTGAGCGCAAAAGTTGTAGACGATAGGAATTATTTTGAAAATAGAATATCAAATTAATATTTTTTGGCGTGGCATGATCTAATAAATTAATGATAGATGCAATCTTATTCGATTTGGGATGATAGGAATGGTAGTTTAAATAACGTCTAGACCAAGTGGATTTTTGATACCAACATGTAGTGATGTAGCCGTTATTATGAAATGGGAAATATCTAAAAAAAAACTAATGGAGTTGTTAAGTTGAGCCTCTACAGTAAAATGAAGGTGTGTGTCAAATTTATTGAACGTATTCAGGAAATTGGTTATAGGGTTTGTAGGAATACAAATTGGTTATAGGGTTTGTAGGAATACAAATTGGTTATAGGGTTTGTAGGAATACAAGTTACAAGTTAGTCGTCAATGTATTGTTTGTAAAAAAGAGGCACATAAGATAAAGTATTAAGCGTAGAGTTCTCAAAAAACTGCATACAAAGTTCAGCAAGTGGGGAACTCAAACTGAAACCAATTGGAGTGCCAAATTTTTGTTTAAAGAAAGAATCGTTGAAGAAAAAATAGGTTTTGAAAATAATGCATTTGATACATTTCAGGAACCAAAAAAATGGGAACAATTAGCACAACAAAAAAGTGAAGCTGTTCTTACGAGTAGAAAAACAATAGCTGAAGATAGAAAATCTAGAGATCACGTCAAAACCTCACATCTGTTACCTTAACGTAATGCTTAATGCTCGACTGAATTTCATCGAGAGGATATTACTATCATCAGTGGTTACTTCGGTGCTTACATATGTTATCTCCAAATGAGCTGATGCTCTCAAAATTCAAAAATCGAGGAGAATGGCAGGACTTATGCATCGTCTGAGTGCTTTAAGAATTGCTGAAGTGTTGTGCGTCATTTCAGGAACTCTGCCTCTCTTAGTCATAGCAGAGGAAAGATCCTGGTATAAACTCTACATGAAAGTACAAATAAAACTCTACATGAAAACTTAAAAATAAAAACGATCAATGAATCAATAAAAGAAAGAAACAAAAATTACCACAAAAAATTACCAGGTCACGCAAACAAATATTTAAAAGAATTAAGTGAGAAATCTCATACTCGAAGATTGAAAAAATGGCCATACGATCTTAAATGAAATGTCAAAAAATAAAAAAAGATATCGCATAGGAGATAAACTCTTTAAATGCATTTACGTCCAACAAATTGTCTTAAAAAATTATATTATTTTGATCGTCAATAAATATATGAAAAAAAAATTGTTTACATTTCAATAGGTTCCGAATCAATATTAATCCGTAACACCGCGATGCGTCGCTTATGCTCTGATATTTCGTCTCTCAAATAGCTACGCAGCGTGATTGCTTTGCAAAAAGTTTAAAATTTTCAAAAAAATTCAAAATATATACAAAAATTGAAAATTTTCAATAAGTAATTTTTTTAAAATTTGAAAGTTCACAAAAATATATTTTTTTAAAAGTTTTCAAAATATTGTAGAACTTCTTCAAACACTTTAATTTTTATTACGGAAAGTTCCAGCAATTTGTCTAAAGACAAAACGATGCCATGCACACTAGGTTATATTATTATGAACTAAGAACCAGTGTATGGATGATTATATGTATTTAACAAGACTTGAGTTTTTTGCATTGAGGTTCTATACCTACTAATCATGAGATGCAGACTGACTAAGCCCAAAGTGGCGAATACAGCTACTGCGTAGATGAGAAAAGTACCTTTTTTTTTCAATCAACGCATGTTACTTGGAAAATTAAAAAAATGTATTATTATTACTAACACAAAATACCAATGCAGACAATTATTACGAGGTTAATATAGTGGGGAACAATTTTGAAAAACCCATTTTTTTTATGTGTATGAAGATATCTCTCATTAACATACTTTATTCCTTGTGATATCAAAAACTTAAATTTATAACGGCAGATGCCTGCAGGGCACACAAATATCAGAAAATATAAAAAAACAGCAACCACGCGGTTGAGAGTATGCATAAATTTGCTTGTTTTATATTGATGTAATCAACTTTATCGCAATGATAATAAAAAAAAAAATTTTTTGTTGTTTATATACATTTTTTAATAAGAAATCATTTACATAAAGTCATTGGTCGTTTGCCATTGGTATTTTCCGATATTAATCAAATCATTTTTCAAATTTTCCAAGCGGTAGACGGCGTGAAGCGATTTTGAAAACATTAAAAAAAGAATTACATTTCTCACCTGCTTAGACAGCTGTGTTTGCCAATTTAGGATTAGTCAGTCCCCACCACATATAGGGTAGGTATAGAGACCTCCCTCATTGCACTAAACTCAGGTCCCGTCAAATATATACAGCCATCTGCCCATTGGGTCTTATGAATATGAATTATATGAACACAAAGAATTATGTTGTATTATTTGTATATTATATTTATAACCTGTTGATAATAAATTAAATATGATCGTTGCATGTGGACGCATAATAATTTTTATAAACTCGATCTATTATTTCGGTATCAGACGTAAAAAAAAACATCGCTTTATCTTGCCAACACCGCTGCTTGTCTATGATGCCATACTCGACTCGGTCTGTTCAAACATAATTAAACATATTGCATAAACTCAATTTTCATCAAAATACCGGTAATATCGAAATAATACTGAACAAAAATCGACCGGCATTCCGGTAGATTGATGATTGATTAATTATTGATTACCTTTATTTCTTGACTGTTTAATTACAGTACTGGAATAATTAAGTAAAGTAAAAATAGCAATATTCAGGAGACAGTTCATAAATTAGAAATGCTTGAACTATGTTTACATTTTAGGTTAATCATATCCTAGATTTTTTTAAAGCAATATCATAAAAATGAATAAGTAAAAGATTGAATAATATAAAATATAAAAAATACTAACCAGAGGTAATGCAGGAGCTTAATGAAGCATGATCAATAAAAGATGACATTGTGCGGTAGCCCTTTTGAAATGTATGGTTTATATTATTCTCAGCAACAAATCCTTGTTTACGTCGACCATCAAAGTCATCAGAAAAATCTCTAGCTTTTTGAGTAATATCATTAAAAGCCGCCTGCATCTCATTATTGTTGCTAATGATTTCATTTTCCATTTTATTAAGTTCACTGGATTTTGCTATCACTTCTAGAGCCTTTGATTTTTGTGAGATCAGATCATCTTTATCAAATTTGCATTTGTTTGCATTCTGCTCGGAGTTATCAATAACATTGCATTCCACTGAAGAAATATCATTTGCATTTCTACACCCTGATAACTTTTCAAAGTTGCCCACAGATTTATTTAAGTAATGATTCGCAGGTAATATAACAGTTTTCTGAGATAATCCTTCATAACTCTGTGTATTATCTATACTACACGCTTCATCCGGACAATTAGGTTCAGTGATTGTATTTGAAATCTCGCAAACATTGCTGCTGATTTCAGTATCATTTAAAATAAAAGTCTCATTATCAATTTTAGTAGATGTGTCATAAATACATAAAGCATCATAATGTTTCTCTATTTTTGTGTTATTTTTGAAAGAAATTTGGTTATCTATATGAGGATCACATTCATAAGATATATTAATGTCTGAAACTGAAATGTTTCAATATGTTTTTATATCAATATTTATTATAACATTATTTGGTGTAAATTTAAACTCATATTCAAAATCCATACCTTTAATGTTTGGACTATGTTTATTATAGTTTGTTTCACTTGTGTCGCCATAGCTAGTTTTGGAATTGGATATTGCATCTGTAACACTAAAACACACAAATTACACATAAATTACATATATATATATATATATATATATATATATATATATATATATATATATATATATATATATATATATATATATATATATATATTGATTGTTTCTTTTCCGAACAGTAAATCCAACAATATAAAACAATCTGTTTTTTGAAGATGTTTAATACGACGTTTCGGAACTAGGTGCGTTCTATCATCAGGTTTATTCTGTCAAATACAATCTTTTTTAAAAATATTGATTAACATTAATTAATGATGGTCAATACAGATTAATTAGAAAAAATTTTATAAAGGAATGGATTATGTACCGGGGTAAAGAGTAATAAGAATTAACTGAAAAAGGTTTTATATAAAATTGAGAAGCAAAAATTATTTACCTGTAAAAATTTATATATCCATATCACTAATATTATTTTGTTAAAAACACTTGATTTTTTGGAGGATATTTGTAGATGTTATGACTAAACAAGACTTAAACACACTGATATGGAGTTCTGTCGGCCAGATGTAAGACAACGTACGGAATTCCTGGCAAAAATGATTTTTTATGGCTCTTGTATTGGTAGAAAAAAGAAGAAATATTGCTTTAGTAAATGTTGAGAAATATTATGTATATATATATATATATATATATATATATATATATATACATGCACATGCATATGCACACCTACATACTCATACATACATATGCACATATCTATATATTAATGTATCTACAATTATATACATGAACATATACGCAAGTGCATGTATATAGTGTACACACAAAAACATACATATAAGCACATATATGGATGTGCATATATTATAACACATACACATAGCTGGGCACCGTTAATCAAATAGTTAACTTCGTTAATCGTTAATCCGCTACAAAAAAAGTTAACTTCGTTAAACGTTAAAGCGTTACATTTCGGAAGAATTAACGCAAGTTAACGTTAATCGTTAATCCGTTAATATGTGTAAAATTACATTTTCATATCGTTGCGTTAGTGAACTTAAAAAACTTATTAGTTTAGGTTCTGGAAGTTAACAGGTTATGAATAAAACAAAATACTTGTATAATTCAAATGTGTAATTTAACCCCTCGCGCGTTTTATGCACACTTCCGTGTAACATACCGTGATAACGCTATTGGTCAACTTTTCGTTGTTATGATTGCATATTGTTTTTACAAGAATTTTTTTCTAAATAAAGGGAAAGAGTTTTTTTAACTTCCCGTAGGGCAAGTTATAGTAATCGCAAAAGAATCGAAAATGAAAATTTTTGCATTTCTCGACGTTTCAAAGGTTTCTGAATATTTTGGCATACGTTAGAAAAAATGGATGTATGTGTGTGTGTGTATGTATGTGTATTCGGATACAAATTTTCGTCGACGATTTCGGGAACACGGATCAACCGATTTGAATAATTCAAAAAACATTCGATTCGTATTGATAAGAAGACGTGCTGATTAGTTTTTGGCAAAGGCAGGTCTAGCCGTTCCGAAGATATGGGGTAAAATTGAGCCAAAAACGGTAACTCAGTTTTTAAGAGAACGGAGCGTCCGATTTTAATAATTCAAAAAACATTTTACTTGTATTGACAATTATGAAGAACTGATCCATTTTGTCATGAAGGCAGGTCTAGCGGTTTCGGAGATATAATGAAAAAAAAAATGCCATTTGGCGGTCAAAATGATCATTAGACATATGCACATCCAATTATCAGATATTTTATAGAGATTTTAACAATAAGTATAAATTTTATTTACATTCCTATGGGTTCCGTACCAATGTTTATCCTTTAGACAGCCACGCGGCGCTTACGCGCTTTATATTTTGTCTCTATGCAGTCCTAAAGCAGTAAAATTGCTTTGAAAAAAAGTTCAGATCTTCCAAAATATGTCAAAATAAAGAAATAATTTTTTTTTTTCAAAAAAAATTAATTTTTTGTCCAATAGTTTATAGTTTCTCAAAAATCTTATTTTTTCGAAGTAAATTTTTTTCAAAAATGTTAATCGTTTTTAAAAAAATAATAATTTTAGGTACGCAAAGTACCAGCAATTTGCCTTAAGGAACGATGCCTTAATTGCCTTAAGACAGAATTCCATTTACAGCTAGTTTTTGCGAAAAATAGGAAACGCGCGACGGGTTAAGCGTCGGGCATAAGGTGCATATTCCCCTTCATGAACATTAACATGTTGAAGTTCTCGTCTGAAAGCGAGGCTCGTTTTGGTGTCAAAATTTCTTTACCCGTGGAAAACAAACGTTCAACTGCAGCGCTTGAAGGTATAGCAGTATTGTATTTAATAAATAGATTTATGAATATCTGTTCCCCGAGGAATGCAGCATCGTTGAACGAGTCTTTTGATTTCATATCCTGCCACATTTTAACGAGAATTTGCGCTTTATTCTTTAAAGAGTTTGTAGCTCTTTGGTTTTTCTATAGACTGAGTGACAGAATTGAAAAAGTCTTCCTTCTCGTCATCATCGTTGTTACACGCATTGCTCCCTCCGCCACTTAAACTATCTCTGTCCTTCGAATTTTTCGCTACTTCTTGCCATAAGGCATCTTCTACCTTTTTTTCCGTGCATTTTCTTACTGCATTCCTCTCTACTGCTGTCATACGTTTCCAGCCACATTAACCGAAACTTTGGGTGAAATGCCGCGGCATGTTGGCACTGTTCAAGTTCATCATTCAGGAGTAGTCCAAATCTTTTCTCTATGCCGTTTAATAAGGCATTGGCTAAAGCTGTGCCGTGCGGTAAATAGTAGGCATTAGATTAACGATTAACGGACTTTTCGCATTTTAACGGAAGTTAACGTGTCCGTTAACATTTTTAAAAGTTAACTTAAAAGTTAATCCGTTAATCAAAATGTTAACTTCGTTAATTAACGATTAACGGATTAACGAGTTAATGCCCAGCTATGCACATACATGTATATATATATATATACATATTCAAAAATTATTAGGATTAATTGTTTTTAATCAGGTTTAAAATATTTAGATATGAGTCATGAATGATATTGTGATCTGATCTTTTATTAACACTATTTGACGAATTCAAAAAGATTAAACTGCTTTCAGAAAAAAGTCTTTTAAAAGTACAATCCTCTCTATATAAAATATTGGGTTCAAAGGTGAAATTATGTGAGTTTTCGATGGAATGTTGGACAGGAGTGCTTTGGAAATTTCGGCTTTTATGATGAGTGACGCTTAATTCATGTTATCTCATTTTCTTATGAATGTATTGTGATGTTTGGCCAATGTATTGTTTTTGACAATTTTTGCAAGGGATGGAATAAACTATGTTAGTATTGAATTTAGGAGGGGTGGTGGATTTAATTTTTGAAAACATTTCTTTAAAAGAATATAGAGCTGTTCCTGAAATAAAAATATTTTCTTCTTTGAGTAATTTGGCAAAATAACCAAATAAGCCTTCAATGTAATGTTGTCTTGGAATAACTTGGAGATGGATTGATAATTGTTACTTTTATGATAGGAAAGTCTTTTATTGGTAATGGAATTGATGAGGGTGAGGGGATATCCTTTTCTAATAAAGTTTTAGTTACTAATGTTGTGTTTTGGGTATGAAAAGAAGAGTGAGACAACATGATTGCGTGGTCTATCAAAGAAATGATTGTATTGACTTTATAATTTTTGGGACAATATGACGTGTAATGTAGGTATCTTCCTGACCATGTAGGTTTTCTGTACGAATTTGTGCAAATAATGTTGTCAGTTTTGTGTACAGTCACGTCTAAAAAGTTTAATTTGTTGTCGATTTGTGTTAAAGGTATCGAGTATCATATCTGATTGTTCTTTGTCTATTATAAAAAAAGTGTCATCTACATATCTAACATAAAAATATATTTGGAAATTTAATGTGTAGAAAACAGAAATTTCAAGGGTTTGTAAAACTAGGTCTATAATGCCAGGGGATAATAGGCAACCCATAGCAGTACCTTTGATTTGTAGATAAAAATTATTGAAACAATTAAAATAGGAGCAATTCAGGACAGTGTTAATGATGTGTTTGAAAGTAGTTATGGGAAAGTCGGTGTAGTTACAGATAGTGGGCCAGCGTTTTTCAATTGAATCAAGTACTAAATCATGGGAAACACATGTGAAAAGGTTAATTATATCAAGGCTTAGAAAAATTTGATCGTCCGTAATGTTTCGGTCTTTGATTAGATCCACAAATTGGTAAGAGTTCTTTACATAGTGAGGAGAGGAAATTGTGACATTTTTTAAAATATTGGCAATGTGTTTAGCGATATTATAGAATGGGGAGCCAACGTAGGATACAATGGGTCTAAAGAAGCATCAGGTTTGTGGACTTTGGGGAGACAATACATTTTTGGGGAAATAGGATGTTGTACTTTTAAATTATAGGCAAATTTGTCAGAAATGAATTTTGATTTTTTAATTAATTAATTAATTTAATTGATTGTCTAGAAAACTGTTGTGTTGGATCATTTGTAATGATTTTGTAAGTAGTATCATCTTTTAGCATTCGTAATGTTGTGTTAGTATAAAATCTTTGTCAAGGAATTCCGTACGTTGTCTTACATCTGGCCGACAGAACTCCATCAGTGTGTTTAAGTCTTGTGTAGTCATAACATCTACAAATATCCTCCAAAAAAATCGAGTGTTTTTAACAAAAAAATATTAGTGATGTGGATATATAAATTTTTACAGGTAAATAATTTTTGCTTCTCAATTTTATATAAAACCTTTTTTAGTTAATTCTTATTACTCTTTACCCCGGTACATAATCCATTCCTTTATAATTTTTTTTTCTAATTAATCTGTATTGACCGTCATTAATTAATGTTAATCAATATTTTTAAAAAACATTGTATTTGACAGAATAAACCTGATGATGGAACGTACCTAGTTCCGAAACGTCGTATTAAACATCTTCAAAAAACAAATTGTTTTTTATTGTTGGATTTACTGTTCGGAAAAGAAACAATCAATATATTGAAAAAATCC